ATCATTTAAAATTGAACTTTAATCCTTTGAGGGATTTTTTTTTGGATAACTTGGGGTAAAATGTTATTAGAAATCATTTAAAATTGATTTGAAAAGAATACATAAGAAATAAACATTTTTTATTAAAATAATTCCAGTAAACTTTGTTGAGCGATAAGGTATGAGAAAAAATAATTGTTTCTGTATGACCGTGTGAATGGATGACAAAAGAAAACAAATATATATACTGTATATATATATTTTTTAAATTTTGCCATGTTTTTTATTCCAAAGAAAATATAAAGCCAGTTGATCAGGTTGTGAGTTTAAAAATAGACGAACTTAAATGTCCTGTAAAGCAGATGAAACATTTTAAGGTCTGAAAATACTTTCGAAAGAAGTAACACTGGTTTGAAGAGTTTGTGGCAAAAAAAATATTTTAAATATTTATGGTCCAGTCTCAAGGACTCTTGGAGGGAGGGAGAGGGAGGAAAATGACCTCCCTGTCAGAAAACATAAACCTAATGAGCATTGTCATAAGACTTAAAACTTTTTTTATTAGTGTTTGAAGGTTTTTTTGAAAAGATCTTAGATGTCACCATGAAAACTGATTTTGTGTTTTTTAGAGTGAACGGAGCATACTTTTGGGATAAGAATTTACACTAGCTTCTGGATTGACAAAACGTAAAAATCTTTCATAATTTTCAAGGTAATTTTTGGTAGTGTTTGTAGGATTATTGAAAAATACTTTTTCCAACATGTAAATTGATTTGGTGTTCAGTACAACGAACGGAGCACAATTTTGAGACAAGAACTGATTAACTGGTTCTGAGTTGAAACAGCTTACAAATCTTGAACAACTATTAGTTTCGTTAAAACTTTTTATTAGTGTTTGAAGGTTTTTTGAAAAGATCTTAGATTTTCTCCATGAAACCTCATTTTGTGTCTTTCAGAGTGAACGGAGCACAATTTTGAGACAAGAACTGATTAACTGGTTCTGAGTTGAAACAGCTTACAAATCTTGAACAACTATTAGTTTCGTTAAAACTTTT